AGGTTGGCAGGAGCAGGGACCGAGCAACGGGAGCTTACCCCGTCGCGGGGATTCGAACCGCCGACCTTCTGATAGGCAAGCATAGGCTCTTTGGTTTAACCCACAGCGCCACCCGTGTGCCAGTTTCCCTCTTAAAGGTAAAGGGACCCCTGACCATTAGGCCCAGTCGTGACCAACTCTGGGGTTGCGGCGCTCATCTTGCTTTATTGGCCAAGGAAGCCTGCATTTGTCCACAGACAGCTTCCAGGTCATGTGGCCAGCATGACTAAGCCACTTCTGGCAAACCAAAGCAGCACATGGAAATGCCATTTACCTTCCCGCTGGAGTGGTACCTATTTATCTACTTGCACTTGATGTGATTTGGAACTGCTAGGTTGGCAGGAGCAGGGACCGAGCAACGGGAGCTCACCCCGTTGCGCGGATTCGAACCGCCAACCTTCTGATAGGCAAGCCCTAGGCTCTGTGGTTTAACCCACAGCACCACCCGTGTACCAGTTTCCCTCTTAGATCCTGATAAAAAAATCAGTATGTGGAGACAAGGCTGCAAAGATGATATCTGCCTGACTTGAGGAAAAGGCTGTTCCTCGTGTCTAATCTGCTTTTGATGGGGAGCTGCTTCCCAGATCCTTAGAGATGGGGGCAGATGTCCCCATCTGTCTTGACTGTGCCCAAAGCCCCTTAGAAGTTCAAAGCCCATAAGAGATTCAAGGGGCATCTTCTTACAGCGGTCTGTGTTTGTTTTGAACGCCTTTAATGAAAACAATGCTTTTGCTCATTCCAGAGATGTTATGCTCCGATAAGGTAATTGCACAAGGGGACAAGCTTACATCCTATTACGGCTGCGCTCGGGATTTGGTGCCACAATTGAGAGTCCCGTGGGCTCGCTGGAGCTACACCCGTCACCTCCTGCAGCAGACCGGTGAACTGGGAATGAGTTGGTGCATTGCTTTTGGGGGTGTATTCTGCAACACATTGCTGAGGCAATAGTAAGGTAAAGGTAAAGGGACCCCTGACCATTAGGTCCAGTTGTGACCGACTCTGGGATTGCGGCGCTCATCTTGCTTTATTGGCCGAGGGAGCCGGCGTACAGCTTCCGGGTCATGTGGCCAGCATGACTAAGCTGCTTCTGGCGAACCAGAGCAGCGCACGGAAACGCCATTTACCTTCCCGCTGGAGCAGTACCTATTTATTTACTTGCACTTTGACGTGCTTTCGAACTGCTAGGTTGGCAGGAGCAGGGACCAAGCAACGGGAGCTCACCCTGTTGCGGGGATTCGAACCCCCGACCTTCTGATCGGCAAGTCCTAGGCTCTGTGGTTTAACCCACAGCACCACCTGCATCCCGAGCAATAGTAGAGGTGGGCTTATACCAGACTGTCCATGCAATGCTTCTGAATGCCAGTTTGCTAGAAATCTCAGGAGGAGAGTGTTGTTCCTGTGCTCAATTTCTGCTTGCCAGAGATCTGGTTGCCACTGTAAGAACAGGATGCTGGACATGATGGGAATCAGAAGTGGGGTGAATTATGCTGTTATGCATAATGGGTATCTGGGTGGTCACTGCAAATAGGTAGGACAGAATGTACCACTTCAGACTATAGGTCCAGCTTCCAGGTTTTCCCACAGATGTGGGGGCCTGGGGGCAACTCTTTGTAAAGAGCCTTTTTCCCAGATGTGCTAGATCTCTACATTCAGGGAGTTCTGGCTGTTCCACCTCCTCCATCTTTTAGCCATGGAGCATTAAAAATGGCGCTGCCATTTGTATCGGTAGATCTGATCAGACATGTGTGATGTTCAATTGCCAGTAAGTGATACACCCCCAGTCTTCGGTCTGATTCCCATGACAAACCATAACTTTTTGAGTAATTTTAATGGTCATTTTAGAAGTCAGAGGAGCACTGCTCTGAGGGGTTGGTTTGGGGGTTGGTTTTTTCCCTAGAGCAGGAGAAATAATGTCATTTGCTGAAGCACCAGGTTAACTGATGGATGCTATAGTGAGTGAAAGAGGTGATAATGAATCTTACAGAGTCTGTGACCTATTGGCCCAAAGCAATTGTGGAGAACTACAACTTACATCAGCCCCAACAAACATAACCAATGGTCAGAAATGAGGGAGGTTGTAGTTCAGCAAGAACTGGAGGGATAAAGGTTCCCAGCACCTGGCTTAGAGAACAGTCAGAGAACAGGGTAAAATAACCAACATGGCGAACAGGTCTATTAATGTCAATGGGTCTACTCTGAGTACAACTTAGATGCTACCCAAGCATTTCCCTCTTTCACTGGAAATACCTAGGTACCCAAAGGCCATTTATCCATAAAAGACAAACTATTATCTAAATTCAGTGGCCTGGCTAAGAAATATGCGTCTCTCCCAGTATATTGCAAGAACTATTAAATAGGGTGGTACCCAACTCAGTCATACTAGGGGTAGACCCACTGAAAATCAATGGACCTGAGCAAACCATGTCCATTGATTTCAGTGAGTCTACTCTGAGTAGGTCTACTTTTGGCTTCACATTCTGTGTTAAAATTGAACATCCTTGTCTTCCTAGAACTCCAGAGATCAGGATCCCAGGTCCCTGGAAATGAAACATCAATTCCTACATTTAGGCTGCACAAATATAAGACGGTGAAGGAATCTAGTCAACAAGCTGGACATGAGTCGACACTGTGATGCATCAGCAAAGAAAGCTAACACTATTCTAGGCTGCATCAACAGAAATCTAGTGCCCAGATCAAGGGAAGTCCCTCACCTGGAGTTCTGTGTTCAGTTCTGGGCACCACAATTGAAGAAGGATATTGACAAGCTAGAACGTTTGCTGAGGAGTCCGACCAAGATGATCAAGGGTCTGGAAACCAAGCCTGATGAGGAACAGTTGAGAGAATTGGAATCTCAGCAAGAGAAGAGAAAACAGAGAGGGGAGATGATAGCCATCTTCAACTATCTAAAGGGCTGTCACATGGAGGATGAAGCAAGCTTGTTTTCTCCTGCTCTGGAGGGTAGGACCAGAAGCAATGGCTTCAAGTTACAAGGAGATTCCAGCTAAACAGTAAGAGCTGTTCAACAGTGGGAAAGATTCCCTTGGGAAGCCATGGATTCTCCTTCCCTTGGAGGTTTTTAAGTAGAGGTTGGGTTGTCATCTGACATGTATGCTATAGTCGAGGTGCCTGCATTTCAGGGGGTTGGACTAGATGACCCTTGAGGTCCTTTCCAACTCTGCAATTCTACGATTCTAGATTGTCTATTCTGTGGGAACATGATAATTCAAACCACATATGAGGCAGCTTGATTTGAGGAGAAAAATAGAGAAAGTGGAGGAGAGAGGCTATGGAGACTGACCACCCAAATGTCTTCATTTGCCTAGTGCTCCCCTCCACTTAAAAAAAAAAAAATATCCTAGCAGTAAAGTTTATTTAAAGAGGACCGATCAGCTATCTTTATCACCCAGAAACATGCCATAAGGATTAAGAAAGCAGGGAGACAGTGATGGAAAGAAGAGAATCTGATTGAGGAAGCAAGAGAAGAGAGGAAGTGGAGGAGTGAAATGTACCTTGCACTCCTGTGCAGGTTTACTCAGAAGTAATTCCCACTCAAATAAATGTGCAATGGAGCTTACTATTTATAAAACCACCCTCCAATGCATATTTAACCAGAATTAAAGTTCCATTGAACGCAACAGGGATTACTCTCGAGTAAGTGTGGACAGGATCCCAGCCCGATCCGATGGAGGCAGACCCAGAAGTAAGTTCCACTCCCTTATCCCCAGTAAGTGTGGATAGGATTGCAACCAGTGGCAGTCCAATCCCATGCAAATTTCACCTAGACATAAATCTCTCTTGAATTCAACAGAGCTTACACCTATTGAGCTCCATTTCTTGCCATTATTTTAATGTCATAGATATATAGATATATATTGGAGGGCTGCCTTTCACTGAAGCTTGCTTTACTAAAATCTATTCCTTGGTACACCCCAGAGAAAGATTTGCTGGGGTCAGGGGATATAGAATATGGAATCTTAACGATTTTTTTAACCACCTGACTTCAAGCAGAATGGCATTGACCTGGTGACAATCCTACGCAGCGCATTTTCCTGGGAGTAAGCACTAGTCAACTCAATGGGGCTTTCTTTCGAATGGGGGGGGGGGCGACAGAAATTCCCCCAAAGGGAATTTATTCAGAGTAGATCCCTTATCCTTACTGATCACAACTAAGATAGCCAGTGTGGTGTAGGTTTAGAGTGTTGTCCTAGCACCTGGGAGACTGGTTCAAATACGCCCCCATTTGTCCATGAGGCTCCTTTTGGGTCAGTCACTGCCTAACCTACCTCACAGGGTTGTTGTGTCGATTAAATGAGGAGGTGGAGAACCACGTGAGTCTCCTTGAACTCCTTTAAAGAAAAACGCGATATATAAATGCAATGAATACTGATGATAGTAATAATTTACCGTCATTCTTGTGGCTTTATATAGGACAAACATTCCACAGAACCCCATTGATGTTGCTTTCCTAGTGCCCAATGCAGGGTTTCCCAAACTTGGGTCTTGGACTACAATTCCCATCATCCAATGGTCCTGCTATGGGAGTGTCTTTTGTTAGACTTCTTAAGCTGGACACACACACACCTTTCGCTGTAACGTCCCAGGGCCAGTTAACAGCAGTTTAAAATGACAATATTAATATGACTTTAAAACAATTAACTTCATTTATATCTCACCTTTCTTCCAAGGAGCTGGGAGCAACCTAGATGGTTCTCTCGCTCCATTTTCCGTTTTCCTTTCCATTTCCTCCTCAGAGGAGGGTCAAGTGTTCGTGAGGGCGGCCCCGATCCCTTGCGTCACCGATCCCTAGGGGAAACCCCCAATCATTCATTCATTCATTTCATATATCCTAATTTTTTTTCTCCAAAGAGTTCAAAGTACGTGCTTCTCCTCCTCTTCCTTTAATCTCCACAACAACCCTGTGAGGTACGTTAGAATGAGAAGCAGTGACTGGCCCAAGGTCGTGGCTTAAGTGGGAGAGATTTGAACCCTGATCTTTCCCAAATCCTAGTCCGACACCCTAACCACTATGCCACACTGGCTCTCACTGCGGAGAGAAAGGCTTCTGGGTTAAAAACGCACTCAGGGCTGCAAAGTTCCCACCTGGGTATCTGTTTCCTTTAAGCCGCCTCTCAGGAGCGTCAGGCGGTTCACCAAACAAGAGGTTGTTTGTTTGTTTGTTTGTTTGTTTGTTTGTGGCGCAAAAACCTATAATAACTAAAGCCAGAAAAAGGGGGGGAAATGTTTATTTTTCTTAAAAGAAAAAACCTCTTTACCCCTCTTTGGTTCTCGCCCCGTCTTCCAGATCTCCCATAGCCCTCTCCTCTGGCCAGCTTCAGCTGTGAAATCGCCGTTTCACACACGCCCCAGGCTTCTTAATTGTTGGGGAGGGGAAAATATGTATAAAATGAAATTTGTTTGCCACCAGGAGACCCTGGGCACACGCGTGGCTATTCTTTTTCTCTCTCCTCTCACCCCCTCCCCAATTTGCCACAGAGTTTCCTTAAGCGTGGTGTTTTCTAAATTGCTTATTCTCCTCCCCCTCCCCCCCAAAAAATTAATGTTCTCCGATTTCCTAATATAGAATGGGAAGGGGAGTCGATAAAGGAGTCGTTAACCTGTCATCGCAGGAGAAGGCAGCCCCACCTCTCCAAAGGGGTGGCAGTCGCGATGATCAACTCTTCCCACTAGGCATTGCTGTCGAGGCGAGGGGTCCGGTCCTTTCTCTCTGTTGGAGAAGGCAGAGGACTGGGTTCACCTGCGCCTTCATCAGCCTAAAGCTCATTCCTCTCTCCTCCTTATTTAATAGCCAGACTCCCAAAGTAAACATCTGGCGAGGAGAGGAGTATGATTACTACGTACCATGGTTCAAATTTCCCACTCGTCCACGAAGCTCATTCGAGATGACTTTGGCACAAATCTCTGCCTCTCTCAGCCGAGCCTACCTCATAGGGTTGCTGTGAGCTAAAAGAGGACGGAAGGCATGAAAGAGGGAGAAAGAGAAGCATGTGTGCATTCTTGAAGAAAAAGGAAGGATATAATTGCAGCAATAAGTAAACAAAAATGATAATCATGATTTTGTTAGCCTGGTTAGTAACGCTGTGATGGAATCGTTTTGCAAAATTCTCCATGACTTTTTGCATGTGGCTCAGAAAGCAACTGTTCCAGTACAGTTTCTCTGAAAAGCTGCTGTGATTTACTCCCCATGGCATGTGCGTGGTCTGGGATCCAAATGGGACCTTCAGCCAGGAATACTTAGTCAGTCAGAAGTTATCCCGTGCCTGAACAGGATGCTGAACTCGATCTGAACCACACAGGTCTGATCCAGCTCTTCAGAAGGCCTTAAAAACAACCAGGAGTCTTGTGGCACCTCAAAGACTTAATGTTATCGTGGCATAAGCTTTTGTGGAATGCCAGCGTGTCCCTGGGAATAAGTGTTATATCCTGAATTACAGGAATATACTGCATGTGGTTGACCAGCGAGGTCAGGAGGAAACGAAAGGCAGGAATCTACAGAGGGCGATAGCTTCGGTCACAAGCAAAAAAACAAAACAGGTGTTGATAGCACAGTCCTCCTGTCATTAGTAAGTCAATCCACACTTTGATGAGCCACAAAACACTCTCGTTCAGTCCCGATAGAGTCGCTGTTCTCCATGAATTCCGGGTTTTCCCGCGCAAGCTCCTTGTTCCGGGATGGCCTCTATAAAGTTGCGCAGTCTTTGCACTTGAGTTCCCCTCCCAGTCAAATCTAACCCCCTTTCTTTCAACGCGAGAGTGAACCCTGTGTTCCTATCCTACCAGTTGAAATATTTTTTTTCTGGATCGAGCCCCACCGTTGAGTCCGCAAGAGATCAGAATATTTTGCATTTATTTATTTATTCTCTATCGAGATCGATATTCCGCGTTTACTCGCGTTTAATGCCTACGCAAAACACCTGTCTGCCCGTTGCCATCCTTATCGCTAGATCGTAGCCGTCTTCAAATATCTCAAGGGCTGTCACGTGGAAGATGGAGCAAGCTTGTTTTCCTCCTGCTCCGGAGGGTAGGACTCGAACCCATGGCTTCAAGTTACAAGAAAGGAAATTCCGACTAAACATCAGGAATAACTTTCTGACAGTACAAGCCGTTGGACAGCGGAGTGGACTCCCTAGGGAGGTGATGGATTCTCGTTCCTTGGAGGTTTTTAAGCAGATGTTGAAGGGCCATGTGTCATGTAAGATCTAGTTGAGAATTCTGCGTGGCCTTGGGTTGGACTAGACGACTCAATGATTCTATCTTATTATTATCGCTCTTATCTCCAGCGATGTTTTCTTTGAAATCCTTCGGGGGGCTGGGGGTGTTTGTGAAATTTAATGTCTCGTTGAGCTTTCGAGAGAGAGGATGAGAAAGGTTATCGAAACTGCATTCCCCTTTAGGTCTGTGGAATATCGCGATTTATGATTAAATTGGGAATCCTTTGCGTTGATATAGCGCTGAGCTGAGCGTCCCTCTTACCCCAACGAATAAATACCACTGTGATGTTGCATTGGTGAAGCGCAGAGAGAACCATCAGTTTCTTCATCCCACGGATGTGCAAGAGAATTGGGACGGGGGGTATATAAACAGGGGTCTTTTTCCCCCTTCACAGTACACCACAGTGGTTTCCCTCTCGGTAGGAGCCACGAGGCCCCAGCCCACTCCTATTCCCGCGGAATTGTCTACTGGGAGGAAACAGCGGGCTGTGCATGCATACCTTTGCTGTCGAGAGGAGTGGCGGGGTGTATTTAAAATAATAATAATAATGTAGCTACTGTTTTAAGTGTCAAAGGAGAGGGAAGCGGATCAGTTATGGATGGTATACATTTATATATCTCTATATATTGCGCGCGCGCACGCACACACTTTCAAAAAGAAATATACCTGTTTATGGAACTTCTCATCCCCCCCCCCCCATCACTTGGCGGTGGTGGAAAAGGAACCTCTCGCTTCTTCCCAGGAAGATTCTGAAAATATTTTCAGTTCGGGGAAGAGCTCCGGTTCCCATCAATCGGCACAGTCAGTTAAAGAGAGGGAAAGTCTGTCTAACGAGTAAGTCGCCCAAGGCGCTGGTCAGATATAAAATCAGGATAAAGGTTTAACACAAGAAGTTGTGTTTGATTGCTCATTTGCTTGAAAATGTGTGTGTGTGGATATATAATTTCAGACCAGCTGGTTCAACGAGCTAAAGGAAAAGGAAAGGTGTTTGGCTTCCATTTAGTGTAGTTTGCAAAAGTTTTTTTTTTTTCGATTGGGGGGGTTAAGAAAGAGCGGAGAGAGAGAGAGAGAGAAGGGGGGAACAAAGGACACTTCGGAGCTTTGGCGTCGGTGCCCGCTGGGAAGGAGGGATGGAGTCATCCTCCTTAAAGCTTCAGAGGAAGGGGGGAGACCAGCTGCCTTCACCCCTCCTTCTCCGCCCCTGCCACTGTCCTGGGCTTCAGAGAATTATGATCGCTGTTTAGGAGAGGAGGGACGTCGTAGCCTGGGCTAAATTGACCCAAACAAACCAAATCGACTAGAAAAAGATGATTCACATGTTCTTATTCCTATTGGTATTAATGTCAAAGATCTAGCTATTGTGCTTCGGCTGGGAAAGGGGTATGGGTTAATAATGATAATTATTAAGAAAAAGCTGGAACACGCAACCTTAACTAGTTCTGGGTGAGAGACGGAGAAGGGTTGTTGTTTTTTCATTTCAGAAAATGCTTCTCGGTTGTGGGAAGGGGGAATAAGCCCCGCTGAACTCGGTGGCGCTTCCGATTGAGACGTGTATAGGATGGGGGGCTGCAATCCTAGGTGCCGTGAAACCCACTAGGACTTACTCCGAGAGAACTTGCGTACGAAAGGGCTGCTATCCTTAAGCGCCGCTTCCCGGGAAAACGTTCCCATCGAGCTCAACAGAGCTTGCTTCCGAGTAAACGTGCATGGAATCTGGCTGCTCTCGGGCTGCTGTTCGCCGGGTAGGTTGCGCAGGAGACGAACCACACACACACACGCACCAGATTCACTGAAACATGCCCCTCCCCGGAGTATATATGAATTATAGGATCGGGTTGCGCCTCTTGAACGATCTTAAGCGCTTTCAGGTAACACGAGTGGGGCCTTAATGCCAGATCCACGTGGCTAGGATCCGGGCTGCCTGGCTGCGATTTTCGCGTTCCAAGACCCCATGAAACCAGCAGCCGACAAAAATCGATTCGCCAAGTGGGGAGGGGGGAGAGAGAAAGAAGTGTAGACCTTACACCTGAGTGTCTAACTCTCAAGAAATTATATGGAGTGGGGAAAGAGACTTAAAAGGGGCTGAGCGACCCACGGGCTCGCTTCTAACCATGCTGTTACTCTGAAGTAAATCCTAGTACAGTACTGATATGTTTGTTCTTTTCCACAAAAGTCTATTGCCTTCCAAGTTACCAGAGAAGCGATGCTGCGAAGTCTACTCGGAAGCAAGCCCTCTCCTGCTCAGAGGTCCGAGGGGAGCGATCCTCCAGCTGCTTAAAGCTACCAGTAAATGAGGGTCCCTTCCTCGACTCACAGCTGCCCTTAAGTCATTTTCGGGGGGGTGGGAATACCTGCTAGGTGTGAAGGCAGGAAGACCTCCTTGACTGACTGGAAGAGTTGTGGGTCCCGATGTGTGAATCGTATCTGCTCCTGCTGTTCTGAAACCTATTGTGGAGACGTTGTCTCTCAAATATATATTATACATATATGATGCAGTCAAGGTGGACGGGTCTCTCTCCCCAAGTTTAAGGCTTGGGTTAAGGTAAGGGGGTTCCCGGTTATCACTTCCTTCTGCTTAGGACAAAATTGATGTCCCTCCTAGACTCCCTTTAGCGGGGAAATGACTGCTTATTTTTGTGTGGAAACCTCTATTCTAATAAGTTGGGGGGGGGCAGAGAAGCGGTCCCTGGAGGAGTTAGGGCGACGGAGTTGAGGGGAGAGTGCTGAGGTCCCCCTCTCTCTCCCCTTTTCCTCGCCCCCCCCCAAAAAACCCTCATTTGTCCTGGGAAGTGGCAAAACTACTTTTGAC